TATCCTTGGCACTTTTCAGCACAATGCTGTTGGGGCTGGCTCAACATGGCTCAACTTGACAACAAGATGCTTGTTCCATTCCCGGAACGGGCAAAAGGATTTGCTTTGTGCTCAATGAGGCCCGGCTTAGGGCAGAGAAGACCCTGAGCGGAGCCCAGAACAAAAACGTCATAAGGATGCGTTCCCCTCCATTTAGGCTGGCCTTGGAGATCATCCAGAGAGGATTTCGGATCGTTTTCGGCATCAATCTGGTGATCAACGGCACCTGGCCCCAACAAAACGCCTCATACTTTTCCACATTTTGGCAATCCCCCCCCTAGCCCGTCCCTGCCCTGCAAAAAAATTGCGAGAGCTGACGCTGGAGCGCCTGCATGTCTGAAAAATGTCATGCCTCATACTTTCCCACATTTTGGTGATACCCCCCTAGCCCCGTCCGTGCCCTGCAAAAAATTTGCGAGAGCTACCGTGAAGGCGCCTGGTCAACAGTGGAATGTTCATGATTTGCCAACCCCTTTTGTGCGGCTTCGATTCGTCAAATCACGTCATTGCGTGTGCCCTACTTGTCGTCAGTACCACGCATGGTGGCGGGGAGGTGGACCCGGGGTGGGGCGCGGGCGCAGTGCGGAGGCAGCTCTCAACTCACACTATCCTGGCTCTTTTGCGGAGAATCAAAACAGTCCTGTAAGGGCGGCTTAAGTTCCTTTTGGAGCCCCCCCTGAGCCCCCCCCTCTTCTGGGCAGGCCCCTTGCAATGCCCTTGAATCTTCCCCTGATGCTTCCCCCTGCCTTAGACCCCGACTAATGGCTTGCGTAAGCCTTAAGCCCCCTTGCCCCCGGCGCTTGGAGGGCCCTCCTTCCATGCAACAGTGATGTGCGTTTGGTTTCAAACTTTCGCAGGCCGACTGCAAACGAGATGATTGAGATTGCAATGTCTGGCATGAATATGTGTGCATGTGACAAGTTGATTGGCTATCACACGCAAAATGCAGCATTACACAAGGCAATATAGAACAACAACCAAACGGATAGCCGACAACAGGAACAATGGAGGTTCAGCACAAGGGACAGCGGCGCTCCAGATCATAATTGAACGCGTCATGTGTCATATTTGCTACCCTTTTTCTATGCAGTGTCAGCTTATGAAACAACCCAAACCAATTTTTTGGAGCTGATTTCTGGCATTTTCCGTCATTTAATTAACTATCCAAATTACGGGATTAAGAGCAAAGGTCCCTAGCCGTAACCGAAACAATGCCCGCGATAATCGCTACGACAGAAAAGCTCCAATACTGCTTCGGCAATTGAGCAAATGCTACATGTATGCTTCCCAGACCCTTTTGGAACACCAGCACTTCCCCAGATCCTTGCAAAGATTCAAAAATTCTTTGCTACTGTACCCAGGCAAGAAGACGTTTCCTTCATTAATGACGACCTGATTGGCTTTTTCAATAGCGTACCTCAGGCTCGGATCCGTGAATGCGTGTCTACCTTACTTTTTTTTGCTTTGCAATCGCGGTGAGAGTGCACACACCTAGCGCGGCATACACATGTCCTTGCATGCGGCCAATCGGAATGGCAAAATGCTCTTCGCAACAAGTTGTAGTGAGAGCCGCCCCGGCACGTGTGCCTGCGAAGCACCTATTCAGCAATACAGCGGGGCATTGCCTGCACTACGCCCTCCTGAACACCGGAGGCATCCGGACGCCCAGGGAACTGCACGCTATGAAGACTGGGCGGAGACCGCACACAGTCCCATGCAAACGCATGGCGAGTGGGTATGAAGTGCTTGGTGAATAGTGAGAGGATCAGCGTTAGCTCAATTGGCATGAGGAAGTGATTGAATCGCATTACGCACATGGTGCCATTCGGCGCTGCTCGCAGGAAGTGCCCTACCAGCCACATGAGCGATGCAGGGTTGACTCTCTTTTTTCCACAGTCGGCCTCCCCTGGCGCTGGTCATCCATCATGGTATCATGACCCCGTTGATTACGGCTGATGGACCCCACATCCGTGTTCACGAAGGATGAGGAAGCACATGTAGCATTGAGTTGGGATTAGGCTATTAAGTGCAGGAGTGGCAACCTTTGATGGGGACTTATCATCCGTAACTCGAAACCCATGAACTATCCTAGAGCCCCCACCATTGTGAGGCTCAGTCAGAAAGCTGCGGTAGTGGCTTGCATGTGGCTTGTGACCCGTGTGCATGATGCCAGCTGCTGCAAGGCTGTACGGTATCCATCTAAGTTGAGTACCGCTCACGAAGAATGGTACGTGTGCCGTCTCCCCAGCCTGAAAGCTGATCGGCACGTCAGATTTCCGGGTGTCCCCTGCATCGGTGAGGAAACGAGGCAAGTGCAGGCACAACCATCTAGGTGGCGCCACGAGGGCATGCTTGTGCGGCTGCAGGCTCCAGGACTTGATACAGTTTTCGAGCGTATCAGGATGGGGTGGGATGGACAATCCCTGATATGTAGCCCCATCAACCGTGCTCATCCAACGCGTGCCTCCCATGTCCCCGTGAAGTGCGGTGTTGCCTGAGTAGCTTGCATATGTACGAAGAATTCCTGAGCATCTTGTTGGAAGTGAGGTCTGGGCCAACCCCGCCAAATTGGTTACCAGGCCATCATCTAAAGCAGGCTGACTTTCGCGGAAGGCGCTTCGAACAAGGTGCATAAAGCACGGGCGCACCTTCCAAACTGACTGTGTGGGTCACCTGGGTCGAGTCCAGACAGCCACAGCCAGGCTAAGGACAACGAGTTCACGTAGCACAGATTGTGTGGATTCAGCAGTCTAAGGCTCCGGACCTTAGCAAGGATTGCTGGGAGCGGTAGCCAACGCCAAGGGCTGTAGCCTGGGTCTGTGGATACGCAGAGCCACCAGGTGCAGTGCTGCGTTCCCATCCGTTTCGTGAACGAATCGTACAGCTGCAGCGCCCCCGGCGTGCGGAGCCCCGCTTCCGCCGTGAATGTAATCTGATGTCCCGAAAGCTTCTCCGCAAGAGGGCGGTTCGCCTGAAATCAATACAGGGCTCCTTCCAGCAACGATTGGGCCCGGATGTCGTGAATGATCTGCAACAGGGTGTCCTGATCGAGGCAGTATAAGTCGACCATCCTTGTCAAGTGGCAGTTCATTTGCGCACCATGTACACTTGCAAGATTTGGCTCCTGGAACGACAGGTGCCCTTGCAGGATGATTCTTTGTCTCTGCAGGTAAACTCGGAGCCGTAACTGACTGTAAGTTGGACTCTTTTAGTCCGCTTACCTTCTTCACGGTCATGTCCAAGTACGTCTCCATGTCGCACGTAACCGTATTGACTTCCGTGCCGCCAGGCTCGAGACGTAGCCTCGTACGAAGCAATTCCCAGCCTTTCGCCAGATTCTGCTTGGGTCCTGCCATCTTCAAGTCATCCACGTAAACGGCCAATAACAACTTCATGCCTTTGTGATAGAACAGCGATGGCCACTCATCGCCAACTGGGACGAAGCCAAGTTCTGTGACTGCTTTGTGACAATGTTGCTCCCACATGGTTTCAGCGTCTCGATGCCCATACAACGCTTTGCGTAGACGACAAACTGGACGTCGGAACCCATTCAACTTCACCCACGGTGGCCACGCTTCTCCCGGAAGTTCGACCCAGCACGGAACACCCGTGAGCAATGCTTGAATATAGGCTTGAATTGCATCCGCCATCTGAACATCATGGCCTGGAAGACATCCATAGAAGTCGACCCGGCGTGATGCTTCGAAAGTGGCAGGTGTCCTTGACTAGTCCGTTACGCATGCTATGGAAGCGAGGGTTTACTAACAGACGGACAGTTCAGTAAACCCCTTGAGAAACGCACTCTCTTTTTGACGCAGTTGGCAAACAGAAAAGTCCTTGGCAAGCCCTACAGACAGAAAAGTCTACCTGACCTACTGGCAGTGCAGCAAGGACGGAATTCTGATGCCTGAAAATCCGACGGACGGAGATTCAAGGCAAGCAGAATTCGCGCAAGGTGCGCCTACCTACTCGACCAGGACCAAATCCAAGGGATCACTGGGAGCGGGCGGACAGAGAGTGCTCGACTGGGACCAAGACCAGTGGATCACCAGGAGCAGGAAAAGAGGCTCGACCCGGACCAATGGATCACGGGGAGACGGAGGCAGAACACTATCAACCCGGACCCAGACCAGTGGAACACGGGGAGGACAGACAGTGCATATGCAAGCTCGACCAGGACCAAGTCCAATGGATCAACTGGGAGCACACAGGCAGAAAAGGAGAAAGGCGGAGCAAGGGGAAGGACGGTGGGAATCCAAAATCGCTATGCTCCACCTGCGAGCAAGGATGCTGCGGGCAGAGCATCCTTGCCGTTGCGTCATGGGATAAACACATAGGATTAAACTCCATATCGTTCATCCTTGACTAGTCCGTTACGCATGCTATGGAAGCGAGGGTTTACTAACAGACGGACAGCTCAGTAAACCCCTTGAGAAACGCACTCTCTTTTTGACGCAGTTGGCAAACAGAAAAGTCCTTGGCAAGCCCTACAGACAGAAAAGTCTACGGGCAGTGCAGCAAGGACGGAATTCTGATGCCTGAAAATCCAAATGCCATTGAGCCAGAGCTCGACCCAGCGGGGAAGAAGGCCATCAGAATTTGAGCTCGGATCAGACGGAGGCTGCAACGTAGTTATCCATGAGAGAAGGCAGAGGAAAGAAGGTGAGGTCAGGGACCTCAGGAAAGGAAGTCCAAGGGACAGAAAAAACCTCAGCGGGCTGAAAACCCAGCGTGGCAGGCGGGACAGCTCGGCTGAGAGCGTCCGCGACGTCATTGAGGAAGCCGGGGACAGAGTCGAAATGCGGACGGTTTCTTGCAACGAAGAAACTGACACATACCTCTCACAAGGGTAAGACCCTTCCAGGCCGCGGATTGAGAAGGGGAGTTATCCGTACGGAAAACCACATGAAAGGGAGTGTGCCCAGGTGGCAACAGGCGGGACAGTATCCAGAGAAGGCCACCTGAGCTAGCATCTCCCACGCTGCAATGCAATGCTGGGGAGACGTACCAGACGGAAACCAAGGGAAAAGGTCAGACAGCAATTCTGCGCACAGTGTCTGCGCGAAGCATGCTTGTCTACCGTCAGGGAGGCGGATAAATCCGCCCAACCCCGCCGAAGTGGAGTCTGCACATGCGTCCGCAGAGGCCTCGCAGACAAACAGCGGACGGTACAGTAACCACCTGAAGGGCTGCGGAGAACTGGCGAGGGCGAGCCACATGCGGAGGACCTCCAAAGATTCCGGCGAGAGCTCCCTCTCCGGACGGAGGGGGTTGGCGACCTGAACCCAGACACGCCGTGACGAGATGTGCTGAGGGACATCTTTGAGGCTGGAGACTTGGGTATGCGCAATACGGAGCAGCTTGCAGCCCACGGGAATGGCCACAAGCGGAAGGGGAGAGGTGATGCGCAGGTCCTCAGACAGGGAGGAACAGACGAGTAGATCTCGGCAGAAATCACGCACATGTTGGGAAGGGGGCGATGCTGGTGTGTATACAGTGGGACAAGAGACGGCCGGAATGACTGGAACAGGTTGCTGAGCCAGAGGAGCTTTCCAGTGAGCTTCTCGAGCGCCGAGATTGTGCAACGTGGTGAGTCGGACAGCAGCCTGAGTAAGTCGAGCAGACGGCGCAATTTGGAGGGATCTAATTGAACCGTGAAGGTCTCGAAATCAAAAGACCACCCGATCCAAGTCACACGGGCAGACAGAGCGGCCTTGTGCCAACTCATTGGGACGCGAAGAACGCAGAGCAGAACAACGAGCAGCGCGGACAAGAGAGGCGCGGATGACCGAAGCAGAATAGCTAGCAAGTCATCGACGTAAATTTGGGCTGAGTGACGGACACGCCACAGACGGTGCGTGAGTCGGACTAACAGACCCGCAACCCTGTTCCAATAGAAACCGGAGGCCCTAGCACCAAAGTTAAGGGTGACGGACTGGTACAGGACGTCGCGGTGGCGGAAACAGAGCAGCCCCTGATCATCATGCCGGACGCAGACGCGACGGTGAGCCTTGGAGACGTCAAGCACCAGGGCGGCCAGGGACTCGTTAGCCGGGCAAAGTGGAAGGCACTTGCGGACGTCGGCCAAGGAGGGGTTAGGGGCCTTATTAGGGAGGTGGGTATTAGAGGTGACGCCGCTGACGGAACTATCCACAACAAGACGGGGCGGACGATCAGGCGAGACCACTACGCCCAGTTTGCCCACGGCAGTGTGGCGATAGCGGCGCCGGAGCTCCTCGTCCCCGCCGGGGACCGGACGGATCCACCCCTCACGGAGTTCAGTCGCCAGCAAGTTGTCAACCAGGTCTGCGTGATCAAGTGCGGACTTCCAGGCGGAGTCGCAATGCTGCAGCGGAATGACGGTCGCGTCAGGCGGATCAGGCGGAAAGAGAACCTTGCATGGCGGGATAGGCGAGCCGATGCCAAGGG